TGATCTGGATATTTTAACATTGTCCAAGTTTTGCAGACGAAGGTAGGTTTAGAATATTCTCAGCTATATTATAGGAAGCTAGTTAGTCAATAGCAGAGGGAGTACGTGGTATTTTTCTTCGAGGTTTCTTAACATTTGGAGTTGAAGTTCTTTCTTCAAAATCCATCGGGGTAGTAAGAGGGATTGGTTTAGTTATATTTCTATTTCTCAATCTCATTTCTTGTTGAGATTCGGAAGTCTTTTTGATTCTTTCTTTTACTTCTCTCCTATTAGTAGTATATGGAGTGACTCTTACTTTTGGAGTAGTATAGACTTTTTCATAATCTTCTCCCTTATCTTCTGAATCAAGATCAGAATAAACTTCGACCATATTTGCATCCTTTCTCTTTTTAGGAGGTAAGTCACATTCTCTAGAGGAATGACCTTTCTTTTGACAATTAAAGCAGGTAATTTGGGATTTGTCTGGCTTTTGACCTGTAGTTTTAGGTCTCATTTGAGTTTGAACATTCAAAGCTGAAACAATATTAGCATAATTAAGAGTTAGCTTTTTCATTTGTTTCGTTAGAGCTTCAAGAGTATCATCAGTGGGAGCTTTAGTTTTTCGATCCACTTGACGTTCCTATCATTCAGCCTGTCTTTCAAAATAAACTCCAGCTTCGTAGTCAATAGCCTCTTGAATTGCTTCATTAATATCCGCGGGTTTACTAGCAGCAACATATCACACTAAATCCTTTTTAATCCTTTTAAAAATAATCTAATAACATATGGTTCTGGTAGTTCACTATCAGGGTCTACTTTCTTTCTTAATCTCTTGAATCTATTAGCGTACGATTCCACCTTTTCATCTCTTCCTTGAAGAATATCATTGAGTTCATAATGCCATTTGTTTTGTTGTTCAATCATAAAGAAATAGTTTACGAATTTAAATACAAAGGTCTCAGCACTATCTTCATCAGCCACTACTTTCCAACTTTGGTCAAAGGTAGTATCCTCATACCAATCAGCAGCTACATGATCGAGGAATCCTCCAGCAATTTTAACCATTCATTCATTATTCCAGTTGTTAGCTTTTGCAGCTTTCTCAAAATGGGCAATCCAATCAGATGAATCCTCTTCACTTTTTTCTGAGAAGCGTTTTACTGGGACTAAATTGGTTTCTCTTTTCAGCGGTTGTTATGCTGATCTGTTTTGAACTCCCTGTATGAGTTGATCAATAGAATTAGTGAGTTGAGTAATGAAGGTATTAAATTGATCTGCGTCCATTATGCTTCTTCTTGGAGGTTCTAATGAAAGAGGTACTAAAGATTGTAATTCAGTTGCTATAGAACATTCAAAGTTGACTGAATAATAAGATTTTTCTAGTATACGAATAGCAATGAAATCAAAATCAAATCCAAAATCAAAAGGGTTGACAAAAGTTAAACTGTATAACAATAATTTGGCTTCTCTTTTAAGAGTTTTAATGAACTGTAATTCACTAAAATGTTACTGATACTGATCAAACAAAGTTACTGTTTTTTCAGTATATACAAGAGCACCAAATTCAGCACTAATCCAATTCCAAAAGTGTTTAAACGGTAAAGATACTTCTTCTGGAGGTGGATAACAAATAATACAAGTGTAGTCAGTTGATAAGTAACTTTTGTTTTCAGAGTGTTGTTAAATATGATTTCGTTGTAGTGTGAGATAGAGATCAAAATTCATTCACTAAAAAGCTAGAAGACCTAGCAGGAATCACCACTTTTGTTAGCTTGGTATCTGTAAACTTAAACAATAAACTTTTAATTCAATATGTCGAATTAAATACAAGACAATATCACAATTACGCCTATATGAAGACACAATAAAAGGTAATAGTAAATGAATTTAACGATTCCTTTATTGAACTCTTGGTTTATCCTAAAACCTTAACTTGAGTTACTTTTCAACTCAAGGAAAAATACAAGATATTTATATAAAATAAAATAATATAAAATCAACTATAACAAATATAACAAAGAGAACAAATAGTATAACTATGATAAATATAATATATATAATAAATATGATATAACTAACAAATATAATAAATATAATTTATCTATCTAATATGTCAACTTGATCAACGTTGACAACTTTAACAACTCTGTCAACTTCGTCAACTATATCAATCCTTTAGATCATATGACTTAATTTTAGTACAGTCATGGATCACGGCTTCAGTGGGTTGTTTCAAAGGAGGAAAGACATAAAGAACATGCCTGCTTGATAAGCCTGCTGAGCCCTAACTTATATATTAGCAGTTCCTTCTCCACTACTCTGCTAAACTATTAGTAATTTCTTTATTATCTACCTATCTCATAGTTGACATTACTGTATTAAATTTTGAATCCCCTTCACCATAATAAAAACTTTTCACAGTATCCTTTCCAATTTTTTTTCCAGTAACTTCACGAATTTCACGTCTAACAGTTTCAAACGCATAATCTATAGTATCCTCCACTTTTTTGTTCGAATTAAAAACTCGCTTAAAATGGTTCTTATTTTCTTTAAGAGATGAATCAGATAATTAACTAGAAGAACTTTCACTACTAGAGGAATGGTTGGCCACACTCAGTTGATCAAAATTGACCTGAAGCCTTTGAACAATTGCATAACGTTGGATCATTTCATTTGGGAGAGCTTCAATAGAGGCCCTGACTGAATTGAATTCAGATGAAATGTTGCCAAAATCATTACAGCAGTCTCCTTTAAATATTGTTGATCATCGATAAAATTTTCTACGCCTCAGAAAAATAGCCAGCATCACATGAATTGATTTTAGCAATTTCTCTAGTAAGTTTCTTATTAAGTTCATTATTGTTTCTGACAAGCTCTGTAGTAAAAGTAGAATTAACTTCAAAAAGATGTGCATAAAGTTTGTTGGTAATTTTAGTGTTAACTTCAATGCTAAGTTTTTTGTAGATATCAGTAAGGAGTTTTTCGATTTCTACAGTAATACTTCTATTACGTGTTTTATTTTTTTTGATTTTTGCGAAATACCATTAATTTTGGTCATACGTACAAAAAGCTCATTAGCAATTTTATTATCATGTGTAGGAGGGTGATTGGAGAATTGGTTTCTGATGACATAAATCAAGAAATAGGTACTAAGAAGAATAGAAGTTGTAAAGTCTTCAAAGATATATCACAAGCCATTGTTTTGCAAGACGAATGTAGACATATTTTCAGAGTAAAGTAAAAAAAAAATATGTTCAGGTATGTTAGATCACAGGTATTTTTGCATAATTTTTTTATGATTTATTAGTATGATTTATCGCTAGTGAAACTAAAGGTGAATCCACATCCTTTTTATACATTTTACAGTCAATTTCATGACAAAGATCCTAAAAGAATCACCCATTAATGCTAGTATAATTAGAAGAGAAAACCTGTGTTAAAATACAGGCCTAGAATAATTATGAAAATGATATCATGTCCATACCCCTATTTCTGAAAAAAGAAAAGTTAAGATCCAGAGTGGCATCTATACTTAAAGATGAAAAAAGTTAGTGCGTTCTCATATTCCCATATCCTAACAATATATTCAAGCAATATTTTTTCATAAATGCTTGGCCGTAAGCCTTTACGCAAGAGAAAAGTTTTTTATTAATAAAAATTTATTGAAATATTCGTTGGATCCCTCTAAGATCACGTATATATAAATATGTGAATAAGCTATATTATAAAGTACATTTTTGTCTAAAAAAAGATTGAAGGAAGAACTAAATATCTGTATATGAGACATTGTTTACAAGAGAAATTTGATATTTTTTTTTCTTACTTTGAACATATAAGAAGACAGGAATTCTATTCGTTTGTGATGCAGTTTGATTTGAAGTCCTTTACTATTTATTTCTATAATATAAATCAAAATGAAAGGAAAATAGGCAGGTATTTATAAAAAATATCAGACAGATCTGTATGAATATTTTTGTGAAAAATTAGCCATTCTAGAAATAAAATTATTGGGAGTATTAATGTAAATTTTACATCCCTTGTATCTTCACGATTTGCAAATATGCGCAGATTATCTAATAAAATATACTGCTTATTTGATATGACTAGGAGAAAAAATTGCGCTAAAATGAATATCTGATGAACATGCTAAATTGATATGCTATAAATTTATACAATTAAGTAATTGTATATCTACCGTTTATTATCTAGATTGGTTGATATACTCCTATTGCAAAAAAAAATCTGAATAAAGATTATTAATCATGGATCGAGATCTGTAAAAACAGTAGATGATAAATCATCCATACTGGATTATGTACTACTAATTTCTATAACTTTATCCCAAAAAATGGATTAATGTGTGATTAGCCTATACAGGTAATTTGAATGCGCTAGTAGGATAATAAAAATTTACCATTTATTTACCTGTGAGTAAATCTGCAAATCATAGATTCTAATTGCTCTATTTTCATTTTTAAATTTCTTTTTAATGACGCCCTGTCTTACGATTCGCAAAATGTAAATCAGGGATGTGGTTTTTTTATTAGTAATTCAGAACTGCGTAATGAGTGAGATAGAATATATCAGAACTTTAGAGAAAGTTCATCAATATGTCAATACAAAAATATTGCTCTTGGTCAGAGTTATTAATAGATCCTCTAAAAATAATGACTGCAGATGCCGGTGATGTACTATTGCACATAGAATATTCTGCAGAATCACATGCGTTTACTACAGAGAAGAATAGATGATGCTTTACTGTGCACGATATCTAAGCCACCTATGTGATTCAAAAAAATAATGCGAATATATATAGCAATCTTACGTTGCATAACCTATTCTTTGACAAGAATTTTTCTGATAATGCACTGCGCATTTCAGGTAATCAATTCACATGATGAAGTTTTCATCTATGCTTTTACAGATACTATTAGGATTCCATAATAAACATTCTTGCATTCGAGACAATAAATTTGTTCACTGCAATATTTACTAGCATCCCATTTACCTTTTATATCATTCTATATACTTTCTTCTTTATGGTCTCTATTACATAATAGATAGAGTGTTGAACTATTAAGATTAAATCGCTCACTATATTCATCACTATCGCTTAAATATAGATAAGAAAACTGTTTTAGCACTAACTCAATGATATGTTTTTGTTTTTCTTCTGGATCATTAGGTAAAATAGAAATCAGAAGTCTGGATTTCTTAGATGATCTTACCTGAGACACAGATAATGTACTCACAGCTACTAGACCGATTTTAGAGGAATTATCTGAAGAATTGCTGTTAAGATGCTTTATAGAGACTTCCTTAGCTGACATGGGTGTAGTTGATGCATTTACTTCAAGCAAGATTTTTTTGGAAATTTTAGGAATCGAAGACTCATCTTTTGATGACATGTGATGCAATTCCTTTGGATTCTGCTTGGAGAAATTATTTATGATCTCTTGAAATTTATCATTAATCAACTCTGAAATAGCATTTGCAGTATATGTTGTAATATACTTAATTTTGTCCACACCTACCTTTTCAAATAAATTATATATCTTTACAGCTTTTTGAGTTTTCCCTTGCAAGTATTTACATGTGATTTCTAGGAGTTGTAAACCTATTTCTTCAGATCTCTTTTTACAGAGAATAGAAAGATCCTCTAACATTTTATCATAAATAATTCCTTTTGCTTTTTTCTCATTATAGATGAGAGATGAAACCCTTAATAACAGTCGAAACTTAGATGAAACTATATTAAAATCATAATAAGAGATACGAAGAAATCCATTCGATACAACAAAAATCAAAACTGTCAAAACTATATTAAAAACATAGAAAAGGGTATGATAAAATTATTTTGAGGAGGTTTCAGCAGGCATCTATATTTCTCACTGATTTTACTATTTTTCATAGTTTCGTTAACTTGAGTTATAAATTTCTTTCCATAGTAGTATCAGCATAAAATTTCTTCCTAATTCGTATGAATTATACTGTATTTAGCATCAGTCACTTTATCGAATAATTAAGCTAAAGTAGCAGTGGTACTGTAGAAAAAATTTGGCTTTATTGTAATAATATATCGTTAGAAGAACCAAGAATACATTTTTGAGACTGTGAATCATTTTGAATACCATCAGATATCATTTGAGAAATATTTTTCGCACCTTTTTTCCTATGACTATTTTTTGGCAAAGGCATTCTGGCTGAAATTTTAGTCACGGATTTGACACTTCTAGTATGATTCCTTCAGGATCACAAGTACCATATTCTTAATCTTGGTTGAGAGATGCCTGCTCTGCTTTTTTAAGTTTCTTCTCCTTATTATGTTGCTTTATTTCACTACTAACAATTTTCTTATCTACCTCAACTAAGAAATTATCTATCTCTTTCTCTTCTAGCAATTTGCTGTTAAGGCACTTCGCAGAGTTGATAGGTACTATTATCACATCTGGTATTACAACTGAATTGAAGCTAGGTAAACTATTGTTAGAAGAATTATGCGAAGTACCTCTTAGCTCATTTAGAGTCTGCTTCTGTTCCACTTTCGTGATTCTATCTCTAAATTCAGATTTTAATTCCTCGATTCTGGTCTTGAGTTTGATTTTTTTAGCATCACGCATCTCATTATATTCCTCATTCACTCTTAAAACTTCAGCATTCCTATACTTAAGTTCAGCTATTTCAGCATCAGACACTGAAAGCTTATTTCTAAGATAGGGGATTTCAGTATTCTCCTTTCTAAGCTCTACATTCTCAGCCTCAAGTTCAGTGATACGCTATTTCAATGATTCAAGCTCAGATGACATGATCTATATATAACTAATACAATGTATATAAGCATTCAAAATAAAAAAAAATATGTGTTTTTGGTCAGGACGCTCTGGCTGAAATTTGCTAAGAAAAATTTTTTATTACTACATGCGAAAAATAAATACAAATGTTCAGGACGTAGCCCAGGATACATATTATTTTTTGATAATTTTTTTGATTCTAACCCTCTTACTAACTGAAGAATTATCAACACTAACCCTATTCTTTAACAGTCCAACAATAATACTTATTACCCTTTTCACGTTACTTCGAAATAATTCAGAGTTTTTTTTAACAGCAGACTTCATAAGATTAATCTGGTATTCGTTTCTACTCGTTGTTATCAGGTTCATTTTCATTTATCTTAACGTTTAAGTTGAAAGGTTACGGCAGCTGATTCTACACGTTGGAGTTTCTGACCTTAGGATTTTCTCTAAGTCCTACAGGTAGTGTTTCTAATAAGTCAAGTTGAGTTGAGTTTCGAGTCAAAATTATCCTACATACCTTTAATTTAAAGTACTTATTTATTATGTGTAACTAAAATTTA